CCAAGAGTAGGAGCCCCAGCATGGTCAGGATCACAGCAAATGCTGGCTTCCAGGGAGAAGCCTGAGGGAAGAAGGGCTCTGTGGCCCAGGCAGACAGAGGTCAGAGGCACACCCAGGAGAGCCAGCACACTCAGAGAGGCCAGCCCCTCCCCACAGCTCTGCTGGGAGTGGAAAGCAGCACTGACCTGGGATGTAAATAGCCATGGCCTTCTCCTGGCCCATGACAGGGTTGAGGACAAAGCAGGTCACATTCCCCACAGAACTGTCTCTCACCACCAGAGTGGCCTCCACACTAAACAGCTTCTCACTGTCTTGGGTGTGGGCCTCAGAAAGTGCTGGAAACTTGTTTCCACTGAGGTCTCTCCACTGCACCTGGGGCTTTGGGAACCATCCTGAGGCTTTGCACACCATGCGCACTCCATCCTCTTCTGGCGCTTCTATGTGCACTTGGGGATCAGAGCCCATCACTGTGGGAAGGAAGTTGTGGAGCCCCAGAAGGCCGCCTTGGGCCCTGAGACCCCAGAGTTGCCTAGATATTACACAACTTCAGGGGGAAGGTTTTCATGTTGAATTATGGGAATTCTATGGGAAGAGGGAAGAAAAGGAAGGAGCACAGGGACCCACAAAGGGCAATGGGTTCTTCTCCCCAACTGTGAGGCCAAGGCAAACAGGAAGAATTTTGTCCCAGGGCTCCCTCCTTGAATCTCAGTTCTCACCTCACACACTCTCCTGAGACATCTGCCTCTCTGTGTATATCATGTCCAAAATTATATTGAGTGACCACCTTGTCTCCTGAATTCTCTTCTCCTACACCCATGTTCCCATGAGTTGTCTTTACCCAGTTTCCTCACATACACCTCAAACTCAAAACTCCAAACAAAATTCATAAACTTGGACCACTTGTGATAAAACAAAAATTAAAATCTCCCTAATTCCTCACCCTTCTTTATACCTAGTTCTCCCACTTACACACACTTTTTACAGCCTTTATCTTCTGCCTCTGGGCCCAGGCATGGGATTTGATTTAGCCAATAAGAAATTAGCTAATGTGACTAGTGCAGAGGTTTGAAAAGCACTTGAACCTTGGTTTTACCCTCTGCCATTTCCACGGGAGGACAATCCTGGGCTACCCAGTGGAGAATGGACTCCTGTGACATTTCCTGGTCAACCTGCTACAGCTGCCCTAGTTCAGCCAAATGACCACCTAAAACATGAGCACACCCAATCAAGATGCACCTGGTGAACTTTTCAGCTGACTTAAGAACAAATAAAAATTACAAGTAAAAAGCTTAATTCTCCCTGTTGAATAAAAGATTTTATTCTTTTTTCTTATACCATTTGCTTTAGGAAATGTCAATTACAAATAGGTACTTTCTCCTCTTTTGAAATGTTTATATATGATTTTGAAAACTGGTTAGGTTTTCTGCCAGCTTTGTGGCTCAGAAATGCCTTTCTCAAGGACCTGGGAGCCATTTCTTTGAAATGTAACCATCAGGGAAGATAGCAACACTTTGCCCCCTTTTTGTGGAAAGATAGGAGCCCAACATATGTGGGTATCTTGCTACAAGTTGTAAAACTGCTTCCTGTCATAAAGCTGGAGGAGTTTATTTTTCTTCCAGATAAAGCCTATTAGATGACAYAGATGGTCTCCCAAACTACCAGGTAAATTTAGGATGAGTTATATTGAACAACAGTGCTTTGAGCTGTCTTAGTTGAGGATTACTCATTGTTCAACTTGAAAACAAATATACAGGAGTTTATATATGATTGGCTCTAAAGAGAACGATGAAATTATTTTTCTGGTTGTGTAATCCATTCACAGATCACCATACTATATATCACACTCTGGTTTGATGCTTATTCAGTAATAAAAGTGTTTTCTCCTAGCATGGAAGGGACATTCTGGTTGTAATTATGTTTCTGAAATATGACCAAAGATGTGAGTAAACCCAGGTGAGATAAGCCAAGGTCAGCCCCAATGAGTTGAACTCACTTAGTGCCTGAATCAAATACATTTTTATTGCCAAATGCACCTGAGATTGTGGCTGTTTGTTACACAGAATTATCACAGCAGTAGAACTGACACATAATTATCAATAGTCCTGCCACAAAACAACAAATGGTTCAAATAAAATCCTGGAAGTCTCTGAACTCTTCTCCTCCCGTTCCAAACTCTGTGCCCACAAATCTACTCAGTCAGGCACTCATTCTCTCCACATCATAACTGCACTCCATGCCTCCTTCTTGCTCACCTCCCATCCATCCATTCACAACTGCCAACATGAGCATTCCTAGCATGGCTCTGTTTAGGATTCCCCCTACTCTGCATCCAAACTCCATAACACAGCACACAAAGCCTTTACTGATCTGGTAACTGCCTTCCTCTCCAACACTTCTCCCCAAACTCCACCATTGATACCCTCAGGGCCCACATACTCAATCCCAAGAACTATCTGCTCAAATGCAAGTAGCCACCATCACCATGTTGTCTGCCCTCTGCCTTTTCACCTTCCAGCCCATCAACATCCAGGGCTCTTGTGCCATCCCAGGTGTCCACTCCTAATGATCTCATCCTGACACCTGTGAGTGGTGTTAATACAGGACCATCTCTTTATTCCAGTATTGCCCCTTCTTACCATCCTCCCCTCACTCCTCCTACCAATCATGATGGCGTCATTATACCCAGAATAATCAACCAATCTCCTACTTCAAAGGTTTCATGCCAGATGCTCCCTCTGTATGAATAGGATATCAGGCCCCACAGATATCCACTTGGCTAAATACCTACTTCCTTTGAGCCTTGCTCAGACTGTCATTAAGGCTCTGCCCATGCCCCTATGTAACACTACAGCTTGTTCCAACTTCCCAGCCCACATCCTGTGCCCCTTTCTTAATTCTATTTGGTCTTTTGTCTTAAGTAATTATCATCTTATCACATCATCTATGGAGTTATTTATTATATTTTTTTCCTTTGTCTCTTGAAAGTAAACTCCTCATGGCTGGGATCTCTGTTACACTGATATATCTCTGGGCACAGGATAAGTCCTCACATATTTTAGATGCCCCTAAACAGTGCTTGTATTGAATCAATGAATAAAAGAAAGCCACTTTTTTCTTTAATTTCACCTTTAAAAATTTGAGGCTTAATTTGGATGATTCTTGATATTCCTACCAAACCCAGTACTCCCAAGGTCTCTAGAATAGACATCAAGAAACTAACCTGCCACCTTCACTTCCATATCAGCCTCTTCATAGAAGCCTCCATGTCTGAAGAAGCAGGTGTACATTCCATTGTCAGAAACCTGGACCTTGTGGATGTACACAGAAGCCTGCCCTTCAGAAAGGAAGTCCTTCACCAGTGAGGTCCGCCCTCTGTACTCAGCCATCTGTTCCTCAGKSTGTTCTTGTTGGTTCCAGTAGATGAACACTGCCTGTGAGAGTGTGGTGCGGAACCACCCCAGTTCCATGTTCTCTGCATTCATGGCTGGGAATAGGGCACAGGGCAGTATGGCATCCTCGCCCAGCACTGCCACAATGGGGTGTTCAGGGCCAACAACCTGGAACTGCTCTGTGAACACAGACATAGGAGGAAGGAAGTTAGAGAGACACAGACCAAAAAACAGAGAACACACACCACCAGGTGGGAAGGCTAGGAAAGCTGGGACAGGGGCCACATGAGATGAGCCCTCCAGTCTGATAGATTTGGAAATGGTCTTCTGATCATAATGATGTGGCCAGAAATGATGTCAAGGACAATCCCTCATTGTCTTCTGCTCCTGGTCTCAGGCCCTTCCATGAAGTAATCTCTAATTCAGTGGTTCTCAAGCTTTCATGCACCTGAACCACTAGGATGCCTTATAGAGCACACATCACTGGGCCCCACTTCAGAGCGTCTCATTCACTAGATCTGGGTTGGGCCAATGAATGTGCATGTACAAGGAGTTCCAAGGGTGGTCTGGGGATCACACAATGTGAATCCCATGTCAAACTTGTCCTGTCTCAGGACAAACTTCAAAACTGACAAAGAACACACCTGACCAAAGGTCAGCACTCTTTAGTCATTCAGCCACACCCAGGAAATTCCCCTCTTCCAATTCTAAATTTTTTACTTCAGTCTATATTTTTCTCCTCCACTGAGGGAGGAGAGAAATACATATGCACTTTAAAACACAGAGTCAAATGCTAATCACTGCTGTGAAGATCCTGCTCTCATCATTCACAGAAAACCCCATAACTGCATGTTCCAGAAACAAGTTCATCTCACTCTCCACCCCTTGGTGCTCTTGGGCTTCTGAGGCTACCACATGACTCCTCTTCAGGACACGCTGCAATGGGCCTCCAAAGAGCTATTCTCAAACCCTGTTTCTCTCCTCTCTGGTCTCAACCACCTTTAAATCTCAACTGGAGGATGACTAGGATTCCTGACCTCAGTGATCCTTTTAACACGTGAGCTAATCCATGGTGCTGCTCTGCTCAAATCCTCCACATGGCTCCCCACTTCTCCCCAGATCTGACAAGGTGGACCCTCCTTCCCAAGACCCCTCTGAACTCACCTGCTGCTTCTCTCCCCATGGGCTCTAGTCCAGCCAACACTGGCCTCTGTGCTTCCTCACACCTCAGCACACTGTCATCTCTGCAGAGGCTCCTCCTGCAGGAACCCTCCTTCCAAATGGTCCTAAAACTAACTCCTCCTTCTCCAGGATTATGTTCCCATCTACACACCACCTCACTGAACACTGCTGCCTGTCCACACCTGCCTCCCATGTCCCTGACTGCCCACACCCTGCCCTGCTGCATTTCCCATCATGGTCATCTCCTCCAATAAACTTAGGCTTCTCTACCTACTATTACTCACTCGCTCCAACTAGAAGGCAAACTTTATGACAGAATTTCTGTCTGATTCTTTCATAGAATTTCACCTAACAATCAACATTTCATTAATATTTCAGGAATAAAATGAAAGAATTAACGCTTGCAGCACACACACACACACACACACACACACACACACACACAAAGGCAAGAAAAGAAAAATTGAGGGAAAATATACTTTCAGATGTTTTATATCCTGCTGTTTAAAACCACAAAGGAAGACAGATGGGGACACTCACCCGTGGACAGCTGGACAAGGAGAAGCAGGGAACTGAGACAGCAGAGCAAGGAGTGACTGCAGTGCCCTTCCATATATTTAGAGCTGGGGAGAGAGATGGGGATGAGGTCCAAGACCTGCAGGCAGGAGGCAGGTCCAGCCCAGAGCTCCAGCACCTCAGCATAGAGTGCAGGGCTCAGGGCTGGACAGCAGTCCCCTCCTGGAGCAAAGCATTTCCTAGTGGCACATCATACTAAGAGGGTTCTAGACCCCGCACAACCCTGACACTGAATAAAAGCTGGGCCCAGGATCCTTCCAGCTCTTCTGAGAAGATTGTGGTATCAGGAAACCATTAGAGTTCCCTGGTAAGAAAACGTTCCTTTCTTTCCCAGGCCAACTCAGGGCAGTTCTACTCATTCCAGAACACCAGGCTCTTCCATTCCCCATACCTGGAGCTCTGTGGTGGAAGCCATTCCTATATCTCTCTGTTATTCACACACCACTCATGACCCCCCAGAAAGGAGGGCCCAGATTCAGGGCCCCCATCCGGAAGGAGATCCAGCTCCTGCTTCTCTCTCGTTCTGCACCATAATTATGCCCAGGTTTGGCCTGGGCAGTGTCAGAGACACACACATCCTCAAGGAGGTTGTGGTGCCCATCACAGGAGCCCAGAACCCTGTCCTGCCTTTTTAGATGTGGAGTCACCTAAACCTGAATCTCAGCCCAGTCCCTTCCACTGTGGGCTCAGAACATGGTGTTTCATTGGCCACACATATCCCCACCAACAGGTTTCTCCTTTCCTTCTGTACCTTTAAGAAAGATTTCATCTTGAGAGGTAAGGGACCCTTCCTGGAGACAGAGCATAGAGCTAATGAGGCCTGGTCAGAGAAAAGACCCCAAATCACCTACTGTTTGGAAGTGGCAGGGAGAAGGCAGTCTGTGGTATTGGGAAGAACAAATTCTGGGAGCCAACTTCTAGGCTGCCCTCCAGACTCAGCCACTCTCCAAATGAACTTCTTGGCCTCCATTTCCTTATCTGTATGATGGGCATACTTACAACATCTACCCCCCCCCAAGTTTGTAATGAAAATGAGGTGAATTTATAGTCACTACATGTAATTAGAACAGGGCCTGGGCCCAGAAAATGTTACAGAAATATCATTAAAACAAATGAATATAGGAACAACCCTCATTAAGCTTCTCCTGGGTCTTCCTAGAATAAGACTGTTCCACCTACCCACCCACCACTGCCTCTTGCACCACCTCATCCTCTGCTCCTTCCTGCGACCAGCTTCGCCCTGGTTTCCCCCTCTTAGGTCAAAGGTGTCTTCAAAGCCAACTTACCTGCTACTGTGTTCTCCCACATATGAAAGGCTGTGACTTCCTGGAGCGTCTCTAAACACAGCAGCTGGAGATAGGTCAGAGTCACAAGGACCCCAGCAAGCCCCAAAGCTGCCCTCAGAATTTGCAGCTGCCCCAAACTGCACTTAGAGCCCTACCCTCTGCTCCTGAGTCCAATGCTGGGGTCCCAAATTCCTCATTTCCAAAAGGCAGTTGGTCCCTAGGAACAGGGGGAAAAAAGCAGAGCCAGACATAAGTTGCAGTGATCTCTGCAGAGTCTCTGACATGGGGACCCCAGTAAGCCCTCCCAGTTAGAGGAGCAACCCCTCCCTGGTTCTTTCCACCATCTACAGTGAAAGCGTGCAAAAGGAGCCTGGACAGAGTGTGCCCTGCCCTCTGGACATCGCTCCCTTTACCAGGAAGAAAGCAGCACAGCAGAGCAGCAAAAAGAGGGTACCCACAATTTTCCTGGAACACTGCAGAACAACCCACTTAGAGGTGAAATGCAACCACCACCCCACAATGCCACCCCCAATCCCTGCCCTAAGGGCAAACTTTAACTTGGAAATGTTAGGGACATGATACAAAAAGAAGAAAACAAAATTATATCGAATCCCTACTAATTATCAAGAGCTGTGCTACATAAATTTTACTTATGGTTCTCATTATCACAGCTGCACAGATAAAGCCATGATCCCTGCCATTTGATAACATCAATCTAGTAACTTCCTAGATGAGAGAGAGGCTAGATGTGCCAGGAGACTGCCTCCCACCACCATATCTCTAGCCCAGCCCAGCCCCCTGCCCCAGGTAACTCAAGTGAGCAAGATCCTGAAAGGGACCTTGGACTCTCAGGTGCCTCAATTACATGGCCTGAAAGCTTATCTCACCCTGACCTGAGCATTCTCCCTCCCAAGGTGCACTTTGCCTTCCATTTGGGGAGGAGCGGGTGGACGTGGTAACAAATTGCAGGTCAGTTCTCCTTAAAGAACACTGGCAGAATCCTTGACCAGCACTGGCAGGGGACACCGAACATCAGCACTGACCTCTCCCAGCTCATCAGGATTGCCATTCAGCTGCTTTGGCAAGAAACACTATTCAGTAAACCACAAATAATTTTCTTGTATAAACTTAAATGATCCTAATACTAATGAGGTTAATATTAACTTTCTTTTATGACCAAC